TTGGCAAGAGAAATACAGGACCTCATCCAGACCTCTGCTTTCAAAGAATTCAGTTGCAATGAAGGTGACATCTTTTCTCCCTCATAGCATTGAAGCTGGGTTAAGTTATATTACCCCTATAATGTGTGTCTCACAGCATTCAGCTCTAGATTGGTTTTGACTGATCCTTGTTGCTTTCTATTCTTTTATATATATATTTCTCGAGAGGGGAGCAGAGACAGTGTTGAGTCAGATAATCTAATGGCTGTAATATTGGATAGGAATCAAGGCTTGGGAGAGACCTAAGTACTTAGTCCTGAAGCTCATTTGCTTCCTTGGACTACACATTAGCTTCAGTTATCTCACATGGTTGTTGTGAGAATCAGAACTGTAGTAACCCCATGTATGCTACTTCAAGCTTCTTGAATGAAGGATGAGAGACAAATGTCAGTAGTGTGGAGGAGAAATGAAGATTGTGACTGTGGAACCCCAGAGCTGCACTGTTATAAATTACACCAGTCATCCTTTAGGATGATTTGTTTTATTTTGGAGAATTTGATTGTATTTCATTTGTCTTATGAATGGATGTGATTGAATCTGGGGTATAATTTATGGGGAGCTTTTCATATACAAGCCCCTTAAAACTATAGACTTTGCATATTTGATTTACTTGCCAGAAAACCCACCTTCTGGAGAACAGAACCCAAAACGTACAGTATGTACTTCCTCCTGCAGTATAATTTATCCCAAGTTTAGGGTACCCAGAGACTGCTTAACTTCCACAGTTACTGTCAACACCAGAATGGAAAATGGACATATCTAAAAATATGAAACTGTCATAGGGGAGAGTTATAGGAAGGATGACAATACTGCCTCTGATTTTGTAAGAGCAATCCTAAGCAGATCTACTTAGAATAAAGTCCCATTTTATTCAAAGGGATTGCTCCTAGGATTTAAATGTTTTACTCTAGTTCCTTATGTGTTGATACTGCTAATGCATACATATACATGTCTGCTCAAAAATAAGTTTATTACAACTTACTCTCTAGTACAGGGGTGTCAAACTCATTTGTTATGAGGGCCTGATCTGACATAAATGAGACCTTGTTGGGCCAGGCCATGTGTGTCATAAAATGTAATGCCAGGTAGTGGAGATATCAACTTTATAAAGGACACAAAAACAAAGGGTTTTTTCCTCTTAAAATAAAAACATGCTTCAAACATAAGCACTCTTGCAATATTTTGTTTATTTAACAGGGCCTGATAACTGACACCTGTTGCTCTGAATTATTGCATCAAAATGTCTGGTCTCTTGCAATCTAGAGTATGCTGTTCAGGTGTGTATCTGTAAGCTGCAAACCTACGATGATGCAGCAGCAGCAGAACTGGAAGGAGAAGCAGAAGACAGCCAGTTCCACTGTGGGCCTCATAGAAGCCCTCCGGGGGGCTGATTTGGCCCCCAGGCCACATGTTTGACACCTCTGCTCTAGTACAGGTACTTAAGAGTGCAATTTTGGACTAGCATCTATCAACATGCCCATCAGTGCATTTCTATTGTGGGCTGTAATGGTCAAATGTGCAGGAAGGAAGCAAGGCACCTTCCTTAAGAAACTGCAAAGAGAGAACCTGAGTGCTGCTGAGGAAGACTGGAAACCACTTTTCTGGTGCCAGTGCCTTAAGAAAAAAACTGCCACACATCCCCAGCTTTTCCCTAGGAATCAGTGAGGACTGGAATCATGTTCCTGTTTGTTCTTGATAAAAACGGAAGATTCTCAGTATTCTGGGCTGTAAGTTTACCTGAAATCTTTCCTATTGATTGATATCAAACAAATCTCCCTCCTTTGACTTGATTGACTCACACATACCAAGGAACATATTGATAATTTATCTGAATTACTTTATTCAATTCATTTACTGATTTCAGCACCTGGGTTTTTTGTTTTTTTAAGCCTCAAAGGCCTGCATTCTAAGTTGTTCAATGATATTGTTCATATTGTATTGCACAAATACAAGTAGCTTCCTTCACTTATATTTTTTAAAAGACTCACTAAATGTTAAAAGATTTTTGCTGTGTGCATTACATATACTGATTTTCCTGACACTGCGGGTTTTTAAAGAAAACTTTAAATTAGAAGTACTGCCACGCTCTGTTCCCATAAATAAACCTGACTCATGGATTGTTCCAACTCATTCTAAAGAATCTGGCTTACATACAAGTTACATATGAACTACTAAATATAGCAAAGTTAAACATGCAGATTTAAAACTGATTGCTCCGGGAAATTGTGCAACAAACGATGAGAATTATTAAGTGAATCAAAACATATCATTACCCAAATCAGTATGTCTATGTTAGAGCCGAAATGTGCAGAGGCAGCCACCTAAAATGTGAGGGGGGGGTTGGTCACTTAAACACTTTGGATTTTTAGTCCATGTGTATACAGAGATGCAGATTCAGATCAGCTCTCAGAAAAATGAGGGGTGTGGGGGAAGGTGTTTGTTTAAAAAGGTATTTATTTTACGAACAGAAAAAGAGACTAAATTAATCTATGCAATATGGTAGAGCAGTAATGTCAATTACAGAATTAAAATGCAATATGAGGACACAGTAAATCTTTTCCTCAGAGTGAACACCATTGAATAAACCCAAATAGACTTGGGCAGGATTCTGAGTAGACCAGTTTAGGATTGCCTTGAAAGCAGGGGAGGTGAACTAAAACCCATGAAAAATCGCAGAGATTTTGGAGGGTACATGGTGATTCAGCAGAGCAGAAAACTGCTCTAATACCGACAAGCTGCTGGAGCCTGCCCAAGCTTTCTACGCTTCACAGTGAGGGACACTCTTCTCTGCAGCTGCTCCAACCTTTCTGACAGGCCATGCTTCCTCGTGGTTTAAGAGGGCAATCTGAAGCAGTGTGACACTCTTCCAGGTTGATTCAAGTCTTAGAAGGCTATCACTGTGCTTTGGATTGCACTGCAAGTGTGCAGTGCACACGGATCTCAAGAAGTGCATGACTGGCAATTATATGTCAGCCCCCTTTCAGTTGCTTGGCAGTGGGCCTGTTTAAGATTGTGCATAAACAGGATTGTGTATCCACTCCTGTTCAGACCTCACCTCAACCTGGGCTGGAAGAAGCGGTTAAGATTACTTTCATCTTGTCAACTGCACTGGGACTTTCTTCCATGACACCTAACCACTTGCCAAGTCCTTCCTGCAATGTTCTTCTTGCTAGCACCATGTTGGGGAATTATTTTTCTCTCTTCTGTCTGGCATTCCAGAGGTCAGACCCTAGCCCTTCCCTTATATAAGAACATGCCTATGAACATGCATTAAACTTATGCTTGCCTATTTTAATAAAAAGCATAATAAGGAAGTCAAAGCAGTGATTTGCTCTCAATAAACTGGGCATTTTGTGGATACAGAAAAAGGACATTTTTCTATTGCTGTGCCGACTAAAATGTATTTCCCTGTACACCAACGAGAAATGTTACTCTAGCTCTTAAATAAAATGGTAGCATTATTATGGATCATATACAGGAGTTGAAGGCAAGAGATTTAACTGTTATTTCCTTCCTCGGTGTAGTTCAGATCAAGGTTTCGGGGATTTTAGCAATTTTCATTTATATGATCCTCATTCGTTTCTCCCTCATTAAAAAGAGGCAAAATCTCGGCCGAGTCAGGCAGCAGGAGAGGTTTCAATGAAGTACTGAGAGGTGAGAGGAAACAAGTTATTATGTTCTGCATTGCAAACTGTGTACCATGTAGAGGAACTGCACAGCTCTCTGAAGAGGGTGAGTCAGTGTTGCAGTTTTAATATATCTTCTGATTCTGAAGACACTACCTAGAAGTAGTGCAATCCTAGCCATGGCTACTCATTAGTAAATCCCACTAACATCAATGGGTCTAGAACTGCTGCCAAAGTGCAGCTCCATCATTCTCTTAATAGGTGGCTTTTAATTTCCCCCAACGCAACTACTGAGGCTGTGATATAATGGGAAAGATTGTCAAAGCAGGTAGGGCCATTTACACCTTCTCCCTCTTGCTGTTTCTGAGTAAGAAATCTTCATCCCTGCTGGAAAAAAGATACGATACAAAATTCTGCAGGCAGAGTGCTGACTGCAGTGGGTCATAGAGAACATAACTTGTCACCTTTCATCTACTGTGGCTACCCATTTGTTTCCAGGCTCAATTTAATACACTGCTGGTAGTCACTTTAAAACCCCACTAACATCAATGGGTCTAGAACCGCTGCCAAAGTGCAGCTCCACCATTCTCTTAATAGGTGGCTTTTAATTTCCCCCAACGCAACTACTGGGGCTGTGGTATAATGGGAAAGATTGTCAAAGCAGGTAGGGCCATCTACACCTTCTCCCTCTTGCTGTTTCTGTGTAAGAAATCTTCATCCCTGCTGAAAGAAAGACATGATACAAAATGCTGCGGGCAGAGTGCTGACTGCAGTGGGTCATAGGGAACATAACTTGTCACCTTTCATCTACTGTGGCTACCCATTTGTTTCCAGGCTCAATTTAATACACTGCTGGTAGTCACTTTAAAACTTCAAGAACCACTTTCTCCCATATGAACATACCCATCCTTTTAGTGACCCCAACATCAGAGACTAGATCGTTGGCAACCCATGAAAGGACCTTCTTAGTCAGGGCACCAAAAGTTTGGAACTCCCTCCCCAGAGAGATTTGTCAGTCTGTCATTGTCTTCCTCCAGGGGGTGTTTCATTTGGCCTACCCCCAATAACTGTTATTGGCCCCAAATACCTGGCTTTGGTGTTGGCTGTTTATGTGTTTATGTTTTTTATTTAATATTTTTTACATCATACTAAATGCTGTTTTTTGATTTCCAAGAGTTTCAGTGTTCTTATGTTCACCATCTTGGGGGACCTATCTGCATGGAAGGGTGCAATAATAAAATAAAAAGTGAATACCAATGCATGATCACAAAATATCGTTTTGCCCTTAGTCTCTGTAGATCCAGGACTCACCTCTCTATCTCTGCTGCTTCACAGATGGATCTTGGGCAAGCCACCTACAAGCAGAACCACAGTACCGTGCAAGAGTTCATCTTGCTGGGATACCAAGAATACCCTGCCCTCCTCTTCACCGTCTTCCTGGCCACGTACACAGCCATCCTCCTGGGGAATGGTCTGATTGTGGTGGTGACAACGTTGGACCCTGCCTTACACACTCCCATGTACTTCTTCCTGCGTAGCCTGTCAGGA